TGTATTGCAATAAATGTGAAAAGACGGATGCGACAGCTTGAGCAGACTCCCAAATGTGCTCTACTACAACAACTCTTCCTCTTCTCATGGACTCACCCCTTTGTTGCGTGTTTTTAAATTTTAGGGTTTGTGATGTCACTAACCCGGGAGGAAGCTTGTGTAGTTCCTACCAGCCGTTTGTTGTAGTCCTTAAAAAGTGATTTCTGTAAAAGAAAATATCCCCCTTTGCTTTGAACTTTGAGCGTCGTAACTTTGCAGATGGTATTTGTGCTCAAACAGCAACATTACACACTAACTAAAGTTAAAAAAGTTAAATCAACCACCCCTTTAACACTGTGGTGAATTTTCTGAGAATATTTGCAATTTACAGGAATATAATACCATAAAAAAAAATAGGCAGAGACATAGATAAAGATATTTAAAAGAAAAATCCAGCAACAGGAAGGCAACCAAATATTATATTAGAAAAAGGACAACAGAACTAGTTAGATGTTTAAGGAATCAACAGGAACTAGTTAGACTGATAACTGAGTTACTGGCAAGTCTCATATGGCCATAATCCCAGTGCTGTTTATGCAATCTTGTAAGATGAATCTATTAAATCTGATCACCCAACAACTGTGAAGATTTTAATCAAATTGCAATCTCTTGAATCAATGAATTTTAATATGATTTTCTGCTGGGTACCTTCCACTCGGGAATCTCTGGTAATGAGCAGGCAGACAGTGCTGCCAAAGAAGCATTAACTAGACATAACCAGTAAAGTGCTCTATACCTTTTACCTACACCTTGAGACCAACAGTAAATGCCTACCCCAACATTAGAATGGGATCAGTGCTTAAACAACAAATTACATGAAATATTCCATTTTAATAATCGCTGGGATCAAGTCATTTACACACCATACCCGAAAAGACACTCAAGACTCACAAATTTTTTACTATTAGGTGAAAATTCACCAAAGTGTTCATCTTGTCAGAATCCACTGTCCATTAAACATATTTTGCTGGACTGTAATAGTTCTACCCCTTTGAGAAACTTTTTATTCTGTTGATCCAAATCCAGTAAATCCAAATTTAGTCTTAAGGTTTTTAAACATATTACTTAGTTTGGTTTTTGAATAAGTAAATCTGGTCCTCGCCATGAGCATAGCCATAGAAGCTGGAATGGCATTAAAGGAAAGAAAAAGAATATGGTGTTTCCGAAGTTTTGTGCTTTTTTTCAGTAGCTCAGAAAGCATTTGAAAAATTGCCTCTGTTTTAGATAGTCGTCATCACTGTTTGGACTGTGTACAACTTGTTACTAACTTGTCAATAAGCTTTTTAATGTCTCCCTAGCATTGCTAATTTTTGGCTAACTTTGTTTTTGTAATATAGTTGATGTAGACAGCAGCCAAGTGCCAGCAGAGAGGGACACCTTGAGCACAGAGACATACACTGAACAAAATTATAAACGCAACACTTGTTTTTGCCCCCATTTTTCATGAGCTGAACTCAAAGATCTAAGACTTTTTCTATGTACACAAAAGGCCTATTTCTCTCAAATATTGTTCACAAATCTGTCTAAATCTGTGTTAGTGTGTCATCCGGCTAAGGGCAGAGCCACAGCGGACTGCTCAGCCAATATTAGGCGGGACGAGGTGCCGACGAAGAGAGAGACCTCAACGAGCGACGGGGCAATATTCGTGACTCATAGCCTTCGCGCTTCTGCGCCTCAGAGAAATGCTCAGTAACTGACTCCACGGCGTCACCAAGGAGGCCGGAGGGAGTGTTTGGAGCCTTTCTTTTTTCAGCCAGATTAAACGTGAACTTGCACGGCTTGGACTGAAAGTTGAGACTCGTGCCCCCAGAGACGAACGGACGGGCACAGATGCAAGGCGAAGGTCTTCTCGACAGGGGGCATGCGCACATAGCCGTGGGCTTCCGCCTCGTCCCTTTAGACGCGCGCCGATTGTGGTGCAGACCACGACTTTACCACGTGGTCGTGGACATTGAGGAAGAACAGAGTCTTCCCCCTCGAAGCAGCCTGGCGGCGGCTTAACTGGGGATACCAGACTTGCTTCCTTTATACCGGACCATTTCATGTCGAGTCCAGCGCGTCCGCAAAAAGGACCGGTGCGTGGTGACGGCAGAGGACTATGGCTCCAGGCCTCATCATCACCGTCGTTTCTGGGTGGGGGAGGAGCGGCAGTGGGCCTCGACCCCGTAGCAAAAACCCTCTCGAGTGCGCGAGGACCAGGCAGGCGGCGCAGTACTCGTAGGTGTGGAGCGGGTTGATGGGGCCCGCACAAATCCTGCAAAGGTTAGCCATCGGATGCGAGGAAGGTAACTAGTCCTCAGGTGCAACTTCAACGATGACAGCGTGAAGAAAGATATTCTGACGCAATTGTCGCGCCCATGCATTTTATACTGCCCACGAGCCTGTCAGTATTTGCATACTTCGCGACAATTGGCCAGCTGTTCCAAGCTCGCGTTAGCCCATAAGATTTCAACAAAAGTGGAGAAGGGAGGAGTTCCCGCAGCGTCTACGCAATGTAGATTTACCGATCTTGAAAGGGAACTAAGGTAATACAAACAGTAATCGATCACAAAACCATGGTTAATTTTCCAAAGGAGCGGTGAACCGTCTTACATAAGTGAGAGCTTACAAATGCTACAGAAAACAAGTTGTTCCCCATAAAATGAGCAACGCACAAATAAACGTTGGGATTATAATGTTCAGGAACAGCGTTTAAAATAATTTTAAAGTCTTCCATCCATCAGCCTTAGGAAGGTCAAACAAATGAGTTTTGGAAATAAATTAGTACATTTTATGACTTCATAAGTTCTGGAAAAATTGCGTTGTTGTAGTCCAAGTGAGCCATGTAGTTCTGGAAAAGTGAAATTAATAAAATATCTCAGTTTGGAGAACTTTGAGCTTTGTAACCTTGCAGATCTGTTTCTATGCTCAAACAGCAACATTAGCCTACACAATTAAAGTTGAAAAAGTAGGAAAGCTAGGTTGTGTAATACAACCTATTAATACCCTAGATGTTATTTTTCATGACAGAGTTCAAGATAAATCATTTCATTACTAGCCTATACTGGAGCTGCCATGTTAAGTTTCAAATGATTGTTAAACAGCAAGCATAAACTATGCAAAAGTGGCAATCAGCTCACTCAGTAGCTGAATTCGCATTCACTCCTTCAAGTGAACTATATGGAGTAATGTTGGGAATAGTGAATATAGAGGGCGATTTCGAACACAGCTTTATTGCCCGGACCTATATGGCGGACGAGTTGACGTATCGCAGGCTCGCAGCAAGGGGCAAAGCGGACAATGACAAGACATGACGCGTGACGCGTCTTATGTTTATGACTCGAAAGGGCATTTCGTTAAGTTTAAACCTTCCAGTTTATCCCTACTTAGCTTTGTGAGGGCCTAGTAATACACGGCTCCCTAAAAGTTCTAGTAACAATATTAAATCAGGTGTTTTGTTGTTTTAGAAAAGTGGAATATTTTGGAAGACTTTTTATAATTTCAGAGTGGATATGCTGACCTTCGTCTTTGTGTGCCTCTCAGTCACAGGTAAGTTAGGCGTCCATGCTTTCAATGACTGTTGTGATTATTCAGTAAACTTTAAAATCTTTAATTAGCTGCTATTTTTTTTTTTTTATGCGTATAGTGGAGTTTAGCGTTTAATAGTTTATTTAGTAGCTAAATGTCTGCAAGAACAAACAAAACATCATACATGTCACTCAAATGATGTGTCCTTTAACCAATTCCTTAAATCTTTCATTTGAACCACTTGAAAACCAACACGCAAATATTTGAAGAAGCGTATTTCATTCACATTGACTCGAACCGAGTCGTTCGAAATGTGTTTGGAAAGAGACTCATACGTAGCAAAAGCAGTTAACAGTCGCAGTAGAATAATAAAGTAGTGTGATTTTGGTAGGCTATGTCGGTACAGTGACGCGGACACAATTGATACTCGCACACAACATCTTGAGCAGATGGGGGAACGTAGACTGGGTACAGTTGAGACACCTTAAATAACTTGGGTGCGCAGCAAGTACAAGTTGTGATTTTTGCTGTGCACATGCGGATTGTCCTACCCATAGCATGGGTACAGTTGAGACACTTTTTGCGTTTTGATTTTTCACACAAAAATATACTGAAAAGAAGTGAATTTCCACATGACATGCCACATGACATTTCATTAACTTGTAGACTAAGATATTATCAATCAATATTACCCATAAGTAGTTTATATTTTCCACAATTAGCTCATAAAAATAAGGTGCTTTTTGTCTCAACTTTGTCTCAACTGTACCCATATGTGGTAAGTGGCGTAGGTTTTATTTTGAAATTGGTGGGGACGGGGACATCAATATTTAATATATTTAAAGTTTTGATCGAAAATATTGCTAGGGATATATCAGTGTCACTGGATATTGGTAGGGACACGTCCCTAGCGTCCCTACTAAATTCTACGCCCCTGTGTGGTACAGTTGTGCACAGTACCATGGCACAGTTGAGACACCCATTTTTAACGAAGTAAAGGTAACTAACGCATAATAAATTATGACATTTAACCTGTTATCATAACACTGAACAACTAAACAGCGTGTGACGTAATAGAACTCTATCGCGGGTACAGTTGTGTGCTTGTGTCTCAAAGACACCCATCCCTACTCCGAAGCGAAAGCTTGTGTGGGAGTGCAAGCACACTTCCTTATATACCCCCTTCGCGGGGCAGGGTGCGCGATGCAAATCTTGCACCCCTATGTCCATTGGCTCGTTTAGTTTACACTTGAAGGTGATTGGGCTCTCAGGTGAGATCCCAGGCTCGCAGCAAGGGGCAAAGCGGACAATGACAAGACATATGATATGACGCGTGACGTGTCTTATGTTTATGACTCGAAAGGGCATTTCGTTAAGTTTAAACCTTCCAGTTTATCCCTACTTAGCTTTGTGAGGGCCTAGTAATACACGGCTCCCTAAAAGTTCTAGTAACAATATTAAATCAGGTGTTTTGTTGTTTTAGAAAAGTGGAATATTTTGGAAGACTTTTTATAATTTCAGAGTGGATATGCTGACCTTCGTCTTTGTGTGCCTCTCAGTCACAGGTAAGTTAGGCGTCCATGCTTTCAATGACTGTTGTGATTATTCAGTAAACTTTAAAATCTTTAATTAGCTGCTATTTTTTTTTTTATGCGTATAGTGGAGTTTAGCGTTTAATAGTTTATTTAGTAGCTAAATGTCTGCAAGAACAAACAAAACATCATACATGTCACTCAAATGATGTGTCCTTTAACCAATTCCTTAAATCTTTCATTTGAACCACTTGAAAACCAACACGCAAATATTTGAAGAAGCGTATTTCATTCACATTGACTCGAACCGAGTCGTTCGAAATGTGTTTGGAAAGAGACTCATACGTAGCAAAAGCAGTTAACAGTCGCAGTAGAATAATAAAGTAGTGTGATTTTGGTAGGCTATGTCGGTACAGTGACGCGGACACAATTGATACTCGCACACAACATCTTGAGCAGATGGGGGAACGTAGACTGGGTACAGTTGAGACACCTTAAATAACTTGGGTGCGCAGCAAGTACAAGTTGTGATTTTTGCTGTGCACATGCGTATTGTCCTACGCATAGCATGGGTACAGTTGAGACACTTTTTGCGTTTTGATTTTTCACACAAAAATATACTGAAAAGAAGTGAATTTCCACATGACATGCCACATGACATTTCATTAACTTGTAGACTAAGATATTATCAATCAATATTACCCATAAGTAGTTTATATTTTCCACAATTAGCTCATAAAAATAAGGTGCTTTTTGTCTCAACTTTGTCTCAACTGTACCCATATGTGGTACAGTTGTGCACAGTACCATGGCACAGTTGAGACACCCATTTTTAACGAAGTAAAGGTAACTAACGCATAATAAATTATGACATTTAACCTGTTATCATAACACTGAACAACTAAACAGCGTGTGACGTAATAGAACTCTATCGCGGGTACAGTTGTGTCTCAAAGACACCCATCCCTACTCCGAAGCGAAAGCTTGTGTGGGAGTGCAAGCACACTTCCTTATATACCCCCTTCGCGGGGCAGGGTGCGCGATGCAAATCTTGCACACCTATGTCCATTGGCTCGTTTAGTTTACACTTGAAGGTGATTGGGCTCTCAGGTGAGATCCCAATTAGAGTTCTCAACGGGCCTGAAAATTACAACCCGGCCCGTGGATTTTAAAGCCCGGACCCGATGTAACTTGACACATCAACATGAATTATCTGCCCGAACCCGGCCCGCGGCCCGACGCCACCGCGTTCTCTTTTTTTTTCTCATACACGAATTATCATGACCAGCAGACGGGAATTCAAATCAACCTTTAATGTTCACGTCTTTTAACAGTTTTGAAACAAAATAGGCCTAGCCTACAAACATAATCGTATGCTTATAAGGGATCGTGGAGGAACAGTAGTGCGTGCACAGTGGATGGACTAAGGTGTGCTCTCCTCTCTTCAATGGTACGGCCAGCCACCCGCGATGCACGTTGCACGCAGCAGCCAGACTTTCTTTACGGTGAACAGCAGCGATGTTTTTTTTTTTCACTGAGCGGAAAAGATTAAGCCCGAGTTCCGACCCGACCCGAGTCATTTGCTTATATTTTCGACCCGAACCCGCGGGTCCCGAGGTTGAGAACTCTAATCCCAATTCATCAGTTCAGTTCTGACGTAACGTCGAACGTGACTGACTGATAGGGAACCTCTGTTAATGGAATTTATAATGTGTTTAATGTGATTTTAAGAATTTGTTCTTGCTGATATACACTCACCGGCCACTTTATTAGGTACCCCATGCTAGTAACGGGTTGGACCCCCTTTTGCCTTCAGAACTGCCTCAATTCTTCGTGGCATAGATTCAACAAGGTGCTGGAAGCATTCCTCAGGGAGTTTGGTCCATATTGACATGATGGCATCACACAGTTGCCACAGATTTGTCGGCTGCACATCCATGATGCAAATCTCCCGTTCCACCACATCCCAAAGATGCTCTATTGGGTTGAGATCTGGTGACTGTGGAGGCCATTTTAGTACAGTGAACTCATTGTCATGTTCAAGAAACCAATTTGAAATGATTAGAGCTTTGTGACATGGTGGAAGTAGCCATCAGAGGATGGGTACATGGTGGCCATAAAGGGATGGGCATGGTCAGAAACAATGCTCAGGTAGGCCGTGGCATTTAAACGATGCCCAATTGGCACTAAGGGGCCTAAAGTGTGCCAGGAAAACATCCCCCACACCATTACACCACCACCACCAGCCTGCACAGTGGTAACAAGGCATGATGGTTCCATGTTCTCATTCTGTTTACGCCAAATTCTGACTCTAACATCTGAATGTCTCAACAGAAATCGAGACTCATCAGACCAGGCAACATTTTTCCAGTCTTCAACTGTTCAATTTTGGTGAGCTCTTGCAAATTGTAGCCTCTTTTTCCTATTTGTAGTGGAGATGAGTGGTACCCGGTGGAGTCTTCTGCTGTTGTAGCCCATCCGCCTCAAGGTTGTGCGTGTTGTGGCTTCACAAATGCTTTGCTGCATACCTCGGTTGTAACGAGTGGTTATTTCAGTCACTGTTGCCCTTCTATCAGCTCGAACCAGTCTGGCCATTCTCCTCTGACCTCTGGCATCAACATTTCCGCCCACAGAACTGCCGCTCACTGGATGTTTTTTCTTTTTCGGACCATTCTCTGTAAACCCTAGAGATGGTTGTGCGTGAAAATCCCAGTAGATTAGCAGTTTCTGAAATACTCAGACCAGCCCTTCTGGCACCAACAATCATGCCACGTTCAAAGTCACTCAAATCAACTTTCTTCCCCATACTGATGCTTGGTTTGAACTGCAGGTGATTGTCTTGACCATGTCTACATGCCTAAATGCACTGAGTTGCCGCCATGTGATTGGCTGCTTAGAAATTAAGTGTTAACGAGCAGTTTGACAGGTGTACCTAATAAAGTGGCCGGTGAGTGTAGTTAAAGTGTAGTCTTAACTTCTTAATCTCTTTCTGTCTGCAGGCCTACATGCTGATTTTACGGTTACTGTTGCTTATCCCTCAGTAAAAGTGAAGGAGAATGAGGGTAAGTTGCATTTAGCCCTTTCTGTTTGTTTGTCTTTGTTTCAATTATAATTGTTTCTGTGTGTCATGAGCAGTCAGATATTACTAATGGAGAACTTTTGATGTGGTGCCTGCCTGCATAGGTTTCGCACTGATGAATGGTCATTTGTGTGGTGTTTGTTACAAATGTAACAATTTATTTGAGAGCTGGCTGGCTAGCCTAAGGAAAGGTCTGCCTGTTTTGGGTGATGCTCATTTAAGGATTGATGAAAAACATGCACATTTATGCATCAGGTTTTTCAAAGTATTCAACCTTTTTTTTTTCAGGAGCTGACTTGAAATGTTCCTACACCGCTGACTTTGGAGCAACACCCAGAATAGAATGGAAGTTCAAGGATCTCAAGGGCTCTCAGTCATACATTTACTTTAATAACAAGCCAACTGGTATGGATGAAAAGTTTACTGTCATCCAGAGTCATCATTGTAACCTTGCAATTGCATTTCCTTATTGTGTGTAAAATGACAATTTGAGGAAATATTTGCATCTTTTTTCTTTCAGCTCAGTATGCAAACCGTATCACTCAGTATACTGGAGGACTGAGATTTAACAAGGTGACGCGAGCAGACACTGGAGACTATGACTGTGAGGTGTCTGGAAATGGTGGATATGGAGAGAAGACAGTCAAACTCACTGTCCTTGGTAAATTATATTGTGTTGTTTACATAATCATTACTACCTGATAGACGTCACTAATGTGTATGTCATGAGATATCATAACCCTGAGCTATAAACAGCAACAGGGAGTGGCCCAGCCTACTTTTAGCCAATCACAAAGTTCGTGGGTGGTCTAATTCAGTGGCTAAGCCTATTAGAAATCACCAAAACTGCTGAAAATGCTTACAGCACCTTTAACCTGCAGTTTTAAAGGGATACTTCACTTAAAAATGTGAAATACTGTCATTATTTACTTATTTTTACACATTTCCTTTATATCAAGTCTATATGTCCAAATAATATATTTTAAAAAGTGATACGTACAATGAAAAAGTCAGTGGGGTCGAGTGTTGTTTATTTTTAACACAATAAATAGCTTTGATATTTATATATATAAATATATATTTAGCCTTACAATTCTCACTGTAATTCTCTCCACTACAGTGCCTCCTTCCAAGCCCGTATCTAGAATTCCTTCATCAGTCACAACAGGCAGTAACGCACTTCTTACCTGCTTCGACAATGATGGCTCCCCCCCACCCACCTATAAGTGGTACAAAGACAACACTCCCCTCCCTGACGATCCCAGCAAGTTCCCCTCTTTTAAAAACATCACCTACAAGATGAATGCTTTCAATGGTAACCTGGTGAGTGTTGATCTACAATATTTGAAAATACAAAATATTATATATAATAAGTGTATATGTATCCACCTTTTTTTCAACGCAGAAGTAAGCTATTTTCTTTGAATGTGACTTCCGGTTAATTAGCCGCTATAAGGAAATAACGAGAAGAATAACAAAGTGCAGCAAATGGTAAAACTGTTGTGCTACAAAACAGTGTGTTTATAACTAAGCCACTACATTAAAATAATAGCGTAAGAAACACCAGTTTGCAATATCAAGCATTTTGCAATATTTATCTGTTTTTTTGTACAGCTAAAAATAACTGGAAGCGGATTACACAGGAAGCCAGACACATTAAATTTACAAATGGCTTACTTGAAAAATAAGGTGGATATAGTCACATCAAAGTTTTTGGTCAAAACATTCGGTACTGTATATTGCTAAAATTTTAATGTAATTTTTCACTTTATAATTCAAGGTTTATACCTTGTAAAGTATATTATTCTTGTAAAATTGTTTTGTTTGTGTGATCAGGAGTTCCCGAGTGTGTCTAAGCTGGATATCGGTTCATATTTCTGTGAGGCCTCTAATGGAGAAGGTGCCCCTCAGCGTGGTAATGCAGTGCAGATGGATGTCCGTAAGTAATAGAGATGGGTTGATCATGAACCATTTGTTCATTTTGATCAAATCTTTTATATGATTTGGAAACACAAGTTGTCTCAGAGAGCAATTCGTTCATCTTGGGGCGAATTTCAAACGGTGTTTAGGCACTTAGGGAGGGGGACGCCATTTGTCCGGGTGTTCCGAACGAAAGTGAACCACTGAAACTCTTCACAAAGGGCCCTTCCACAAATCCGTTAGTGAAGGGTACATGCAATAGTCACTTCAAGGAAGTAATTTTATCGTTTATGGTCATATGACCAAGTTTCATAGGTAAGAAATGTGTTTAATAGTAGATACGTTAGGTAAATGTGACTACATGCAGGGTCCAAAGAAGAGACGGTACGTTTTAAAGTTGAGAGAAGTGAGGGAATACACTCTCTCTCACGCACACACACACACACACACACACACACACACACACACACACACACACACACACACACACACACACACGTTGTGTTTTCATGTTTTATGGGGACTTTCCATAGACATAATGATTTTTATAGTGTACAAACTGTATATTCCATCCCCTTACACTAACCCTATTCCTAACCCTACCCATCACAGAAAACTCTCTGCATTTTTACATTTTCAAAAAACCACTTAGTATGATTTATAAGCTGTTTTCCTCGTGGGGACCAGAAAATGTCCCCACAAGGATAAGAATTTCGGATATTTCCATCTTTGTGGGGAGACTTTGTCCCCATAATGTAGGGTTGACCAGGATCACAAACACACACACATATAGCACATATTTTAAAAATAATAAAATGTATATTTATTTGTAACGATTATATTAACAGCAATATTAAGAAATTCTTATTGTAAGAACAGCTAATTGGCTGATGGACGCAGCGACCCGCTAGGTCTGAATTAATAAACACTTACAATAGGCTTACCATTGTCAATGAGGGTTAGACAAAAACACGTTTTGAAAGAAGGATTGATGATGTAGTGACTTAATATTTCCATTGTGTTATTTATAAAAAAAAAAAAAAAAAAAAGGCACATAGTGAACCTTTACAAATTTCTAGGGGGGTCCGAGGGCATGCTCCCCCGAGAAGATTATTTTGTTTTGTTGCAAAAACAGCACCAAAACATTCAATTCTGGTGTCTTTGGGAGTCAGATTTATCTATTTAATCTCATAAATCAAATTATGTACCAAACATTAATCTAAGTGTGTGCTACAGACCACAAATAGCATTTTCATGAGCAAACTAACTAACAAGCCCCCTAAATTAACCAATGGACTCTTTTTACATTTTCGGAGTTCTCAGAAGCGAAGTTGTCATAGTTGGATAAACCTCTAATGGGAAAGGATGGCAAATATAATTTTTATATTTCCATTTGCTCCAGTAGCAAAAGAAAAAAAACCCATAGCATTTCATGACTTTAAATAAGAGAGAAAAATGATCCACTGTTATTTCATATTCTAAGTAGAATATTGTGTTTCTGATGTTTTATGCTTTTTTTCAGTAGTTGCCTCTGTTTTAGATAGTCGTCATCACTGTTTGGACTGTGTACAACTCATTACAAACTTGTCAATAAACTAAGCTTTTTAATGTCTCCCTAGCATTGCTAATTTTTGGCTAACTTTGTTTTTGTAATATAGTTGATGTAGACAGCAGCCAAGTGCCAGCAGAGAGGGACACCTTGAGCACAGAGACAAACATTGTGCCAAGCAAGAGCACCATGAACCACATCCTGGAAAAAATGTATGGCGTATTCACGTTGCAAGAGGTTAAACTAAAACTAGAGATACAAAAACTGGAATTAGAAATAACCAAGTTAAAACTAGAGCTGCAAAAACATAGACATGAAGTGTAGATTCCATTCAACACGACTGCTCTAAGACCAAAAATGTATTTCATATAGTGATTTGTTATTTTATTCATTTCATTAATAAAATGTAATTTCATTGTACTATGAGTGATTAACTAGAATTATCTACTATTTTTTTCTGTTTAATATATTCAACCACATTTTGCATATAACATATTAAAACTAGCCATTGTTTAAAATTTCTTTCAATCAGACAATGTTTTCTACAATTTTGTCAAACATAATGTCCAGATCCATTTTGACCTCCTGACTCTGATCTCCAAAGCACTTGGTCTTCCTCCAGGTCTGAGAGTCCAAGTCTCTGTTAAAGGAAAGATCTGTACCTTAAAGCATTTGAGTATTCAGAGTAAATGTAAAATCTAGAAGTCCAAATTACAGTCATATTCTTTATATTTCTAACCTTGCCATTACCTTGGATTTTTATTTTTGACATGTGTTATACTTTGTTTGCTTGAATCCTACTGTGTCTCCCAATGATGGCTCGTAGTGCATTTTAAAATCCAGTGATGTTGAAAAAACTTGTTGTTTTAAAAATGTTTTAAAAAATAAACTGATATGGATAAAAACTATACTGTTGTTATGAACTCTGTTGTCTTCCAGTTTATCATTGTAACTTTTTCCCCAGCATTGAAATGATTGTGTTTGGTATGTAAACAACATGTTATATGAAGCAGAGATTCATATTCCATGAGTATTTATATTTTAAATGTGATATAGGGGAGATGTGATTGCATTTTGTCTTTTTCTTTCATTTTCAATATGAAAGCTATATCGCTATAATGAAGGACTGAGGTTTGAAAAGGTGATGCAAGCAAGATTATGGCGGAGAGATGTCTGTCAATGGTCAATATGACGAGAAGACCATCAAACTCAGTAGTTGGTAAATTTGAATCACAATTTTTTTTCACTTCCAGGCCCAGCTACTTTTTGGTAGTCACAAACACTCATTAGCAGAAATATTGATGCCTCTTAAGAATAATTGCTTGTGATCTGCTAAATGAAGAAATGTGACTCCAATTGCTTTTGTAATTTATCATTTTGTATTCTTAACTCATTTTTTAAAGATATAAAGAGGATTTCTCATATATACAGTATCTAAGCAAGTTCCTCAGTTTTAGGAACCTCGCCCACAAAATCAATGTTTTTACTGTTCATACTGATTTGAAATCACATGTAAGAAATCATTCTCGCTGTGGACACGTTCTCTTAATCTCTTTCAGATTGTTTCTTATTAGCCAGCAATGAGTTACAGTTTACTGTGGGACTAGACCATCAGTTTTAGTTACCTTTAACCTTTAAATGAACAAATCTTTACTGAACCTCATATAGTGCCAAGGTACACAATATTGATTATTTTAAATAGAAACACTGGAATTTTGTGACATTTTGATTTATTTTACTCTGTTATCTTTTTGAACCAGCACAAATATTTGTTTCATGATTTTAAATACTAAATATCCAGATACACTTGGTCATGCTTTATTATTAGCCATAATGTTCAGCATTAACCTTCTTTTTAGAGTGGACATCTTGCCCTCACTATTTCAGCCTCAGGTAGGATTCCGTGTTTTGCTGCTTGACTGTTTTGCTTTAATTTCCATCATTAGGCTATTTCCTTATACAGTGTATTCTGTCTGTCATACATTTATACTGAATTCGGTGAAAGGGGGCTGGTTAACATGAAGAGAAGAACATGCACAGCTAATGGAGCTCCCTCACCTGGCCTATACAGTAAGACGGTAAAAAAATATTTAAAAAAGAATCCATTAAAGGTTATTGTTAGATCAAATTGGATATCAGAACGAAGTCAATGATCAATACAGAGCAGAGTAGAACACCTCCGGTACTGGGGAACAAAGAATGACATTCACACACACAGAAGTGTAGTTCATTCAATAGTCAGCATTGGGCTGAAACCAACAAATAGAATAACAAGTCCAAGAAAGGAGACTGTCAGCTTCGCTCCTTGGATAATAGCACATGTCTTATGAGCGTGTGACTAAACAGGGTGTACAAGAAACGATTAGACAGAAAAGGAGATGCAAACATATTTATCCTAACAGTTATGTTCTATAGTCTTTTCGAATGAAAATATAGCTCAACAAACAATGCAAACACCAGAACTGAAAACTTTCTGCTCGGTCCAAACATGATCTACTGAAATTATGCTGCAACAACAGCTTGTACCAAATTCTGATTATCACAAAATCAAACATATTAATTAATGATCAAAACAGCGACTCGTCCAGTCACTTGATGTGATGAGGAGGAAATAAGACATGAACTTTTATTCTTAAACACCTGAAAGAGAGTATGTTATTATTTTTCATGGCATGATGTAACTAACAAATAAGCTGTGGGGGAGTTCCTCCTATAACACATGATGAAGGACTGCATGAAGTGGGGCTCATTGTTATTTCGGTAAGCTGATGTTTTGAGTCTGGAAAAAAATGGACTTAAAGGAATGACATGCTCCCTTTGCCCATCCTTTTAAGTAGAGAAAAGAGGCAGAAGATGTGAAGTGAAGAGTGCACAATGTTGCCAAAGTTGTCATTTAATTTAAAGACAATCTACAATATCTGTAGTATGGGCCTCCATATAAGTAGGAGTAGGACGTTTTGTCCAAATTTGTATATAAAATTAAACAAAAGGACACATCAGTGATTAATCAAAACAAATCTGGGTATATTAATTTGTATAAGATGTTGACAAAATTGTTGAAACGAATGTTCACAATATGTACTCAGATATTTGAAAGCAAACATGTAGTCTCTGTTTTTAAGAGACTATAGAAAAGGCCCAATACTATTTTGATACTATCACAGACACAACTGCTGCACCATGGTAACAGCAGGAAATACTAAAACGTGTCAACATTACAATGTTAAGCATTTTACATCTTAATTACAGAGTTAATAATGCTAGAAGTGAAAAGAATAGGTAAGGAAAATCCCATCAATCATATCAAAAATAGCAACCACTTTTCTTTCATTTTCCAGTATCTGTCAATCTTCCCGAATCCAGAGCATTCTGACAACTTAACTCATTTTAAACAAATAAATTGATAACCTTTTTGAAACAAAGGGGTCAAAACAATAGATATTTTGCTCTTTTGAAATAATCATAATCTCACTTTTCACTCCTAATATATTGTGTGTGTTCTTTGTGAGTTCCAGCTAAACACTGATGCAGGGACAAGATCAACAATCTTTCACATACTTTCACATTCGCATAAGCCTACTGCAATATGCCACAACTCCACATTGCTCACCACCACACACATTTGTTTAAATTATAATGAGACCTTTGAAATGCAAAACTACACATCCTTTCTATATCCATTTGTTGTTTTAACAATGTGTATCAGCTTTTGAATATTAAATTATTTACATGATTTTTATTATTTCATTTTTATTAAATAGCCTAATAAATATCCAAAGTTCCCAGACTTTGTTGTTATTTGAACTTATGGTTCTCCACTCTCCTGACAAGTTTGTTCCTGAATATATTATTATGTGAGTTACTTACTAAGTTATGTAGGCTATATAGAATTCACAAGTTATAGAATTCACAATAAGGATGTGTTTATTCTGAGAAGCATTTTGTCTTCCTTGAACCTGAGTTTACTTTCATTACGTCATTCAGTGGGAGTGCCACAGTGTTTCGTATCTAACCAATCACAGCGCGGCACAGGTACCACGGTATCACTCGGAAGGGCGTTTTAGTTAGTTTCACCCTTTCAGCTTACCTTGACTTGGCTTTCCGAGGGCCTAGGAAATACACAACTCTCTAAAAGTTCTAGTAACGTAGGCCTATTAGAAAAGCAGGTATTTTTAGAAAAGTGGAATATTTTGGAAGACTTCTATCGTTTCAGAGTGGATATGTTGACCTTCGTCTTTGTGTGCCTCTCTATCTCAGTCTCAGGTAACTTAGGCGTCCATGTTTTTAGTGTTTGAATCATGTTTAGCCTAACGTACATTACATGTTTGTTATTACGTCGTGTCATTGACTGCTGTGAATTAATCAGTAGGCCTAAACTTTGAATATTTTTTAATTAGCTGCTATTTTGCTAAAAGACTTACTTTTCTTTAAATGTTTTCTTCTATTTATTACATTAAAATGTAATTACTATTTGCGTATAGTGGAGTTTAGCGTTTAAATCATAGGCCTAGGCTAGTTTATTTAGTAGCTACAGGTCTGCAAGAAGAGAAAACGTCACTTTACCTGTCACTCAAATGTGACCTTATTAAATCAATCCGGATACGAATCGTTATTTTGAATCGGCTCTTGTCAATTAAGAACCGTTCGAAATACGTTTGGATAAAGCAACTCGTACCTAGCAAAACTAGGCGTATCTGCTTTCATACGATAACGTTACCTAATTCTAGTAATTTACGTTTCGTGTTTCGAACAGAAACAGCAGCTTAAATCTTGTTGTTTTGCTGTTTAAACGTGAAAGAAGGCTTTTCATGGTTCGGCGGTATCACCTGGGGAACCTGTATTTCCACCTCGCCCATCCCCCACCCGAAACCCGAGCTCAACAACCAGGAGTATATGTGACAGCTGAAAGGCAATCCAGGAAGCGTGCCCAGATAAAAACAATTAACAACAGTGTAGTCGCAGTAGATTCATATAGTAAAAGTGTGATGTATTTGTTATTGAGTGTTATTAGTAGGCTACTCCGTCAGCGACGCGGACACAGTTATTTGTTGATAGCAGCATCCACTGCGCGCGCGCACACACACACACACACACACACACACACACAACATCCTGTTAAGCAGACGGGGAAACTCACTAAATTTAGATTATTTGAGTTGCCAATCATGTTTGTTTATACACGTTACGTTACCTTCAAGTTCACAGGGGAAAAACAGGTTAGAACGGCAAATAGTCTGGAAACCGTATAAAAGAATTGTCAGAGAAACATGTTTATGAATTTCAAAAAGAAATGTGGAATAGCAGTTGTAACTGCCATACCATCATTTTCTGGCTTTCATTTATTACATATCATTATATATTTTGTTATTTTAGTTTTTTACTACCTTATGAAGTATGAAGCTAAAAATTATCTTTTCCTTTTTTTCAATATAGAAAAAATATTTTGATATTATTTCCTTTAATCAAGCTATCTGATATACTATTTAACCTGTTGTTTTTCTTGAAATTTTGTGACTTTTTCCTATTTAGGGTCATGAACATGCATGCAAAGTTTCTACACGCCGATGTGTAGTGAAATGTGTTTACGTAAATTTGTATACAATTTCGATGTCCCTGCTTCAATTTGACTCATTTGACAGCTATTCAAAAGCAACTGTACAAATACAAAATAACATTTCTTTTTTGTATGTCAGAGCTCTTTATCTCTAGTCCTGAAGTGCCAGTGTCTTGCTGAGTTTAACAACTTTTTATTTTTAAAGTTTGTGAAAACAAAACTTTTTAATCTGTTCACTGTCAGTCCCACTTTTTGAGCATAGACACGAAAATGACTTTTCCAACTTTAATTGTTCTAAATCTTTAATACTTTGGAGCACAGACCTAAGTTTGGTATCTTTTTGAAGGAGAAACATCACAGATTATTGTAGAAGTAAAAAAAAGTTATAGAAGTTTAATTTTATAAAAATATATATTTTTGTATTTTATATAAAATATATATTTTACAAAGCATGTTTAAAAAAAATCAAAAGCAAACATCTGAAGTTCTGTGGCAAGTTTTAGGTTGATATCTCAAAAAAAATGAACTTTTAAGTAAGATTTTTTTGGGGGGTGCAGTTACAAACTTTTCCACTAGATGATATCCAGGCTCCACTGGTGACCATATAAGGACTCTTCTATTTCCATATGGTTTCATTATCTCTATTTATCTATTGTTGCTCTGTCATTTCTTTTGAAAAACAGTCACCGAATTTGAAAACAAGAGTCTGAAAGCATTCAAATGATATAGGCTATAGTTTGTCAAGATTTCTTTAGATTTAGACTAAGATATTATTGTTATAAATGTGTAATCGCAAACGAGGGGCAGTCTTAAAAATAGTGGTTAAAAACATTTTTATAAATCATAAATTCAGATATTTATTTTTGTATTGTGTGAAAAGTATTGATGCTAAAAGTTAATTGTGTTGTGTCTGATTGTATGTTTTTTTCCATAGTGTGATTTTTAAGGAATTGAATTGAATCCAAATATGGTCAATTTTACCCTCTCCAACAAAGCCGTACCCAGAAATTCAACAGTGCGTGAGGGTTAAAATGAAATGTACTGTATTGATATGTTTGCTAGTGTCACAATGATGTTTGTAGCATCAATACGTGTTAGCTTCCTAATAGACCTGTAATTTTTTTCTCTTCTTGGTCTTGGTGACCCAACATCCTTTATGTTTGTCAAAAAGTCATTTTAAAGGGTAAATGTTCAAAACACAAATGTCTTTCCTCAACCTTTACCTCTTTGCATAGATTCAGGAATTGCATATTTATATTTTCTGAGCCTGTCCAAATGAACAGGGTTCCATTTTGTCTGATTCTTTGTTTCCTGATGTTTCTGTTGAATAAAAAATAAACAAAATAAGTGTAAAGATGAATAAAAATAAAGATGTCAGAAGAACACCATTCCACTCTGTTGTTAATGCAATTTATAATGTGCTTAGTTTGATTTAAAAAATGTTTTATTACTGATTATGGATTGAATCTGTTTCTTTCTGTCTGCAGGCCTACATGCTGATTTTACGGTTACTGTTGCTAATCCCTCAGTAAAAGTGAAGGAGAATGAGGGTAAGTTTCATTTTGCCCTTTCTGTTTGTTTGTCTTTCAATTATAATTGTTTCTGTGTGTCATGAGCAGTCAGATATTACTAATGGAAAACTTTTGATGTGGTGCCTGCCTGCATAGGTTTTTCACTGAAGAATAGTCATTTATGTGGTGTTTGTTACAAATGTAACAATTATTGGAGAGCATCTCTACTGGCCGGCCTAAGGACAGGTCTGCCCGTTATTATTCAAAAGTAGTGCTTTTTTTTTTTTTTTCAGGAGCTGACTTGAAATGTTCCTACACCGCTGACTTTGGAGCAACACCCAGAATAGAATGGAAGTTCAAGGATCTCAAGGGCTCTCAGTCATTAATTTACTTTGATGATAAGCCAACTGGTATGGATGAAAAGTTTACTGTCATCATTGGAACCTTGCAGTTGCATTTCCTTATTGTGTGTTAATCTGTAAAATGACAATTTTAGGAAATATCTTTTTTCTTTCAGCTCAGTATGCAAGCCGTGTCACTCAGTATCCTGGAGGACTGAGATTTAACAAGGTGACGCGAGCAGACACTGGAGACTATGACTGTGAGGTGTCTGGAAATAGTGGATATGGAGAGAACACAGTCAAACTCACTGTCCTTGGTAAATCATATTGTGTTGTTTACATAATCATTACTACCTGAGAACTGTCACTAATGTGTATGTCATGTGATATCATAACCCTGAGCTATAAACAGCAACAGGGAGTGGCCCAGCCTACTTTTAGCCAATCACAAAGTTCGTGGGTGGTCTAATTCAGTGGCTAAGCCTATTAGAAATCACCAAAACTGCTGAAAATGCTTACAGCACCTTTAACCTGCTGTTTTAAAGGGATACTTTCATTATTTACTCACACTTATTTAGTTCCAAGTCTAAATGCATTTATTTTTCTGGGGAACACAAAAGATAACATTTTGAAAAAGTGATGCGTACATGGAAAAAGTCAGTGGGGTCGAGTGTTGTTTATATTTAACACAATATATACATGTGAAACTCGAAAAATTAGAATATTGTGCAAAAGTTCGTTTATTTCAGTAATTCAACTTAAAAGATGAAACAAATTTATTAGTTGACTCATTCCATTCAAAGTGAGATATTTCAAGCCTTTATTTGTTATAATTTTGATGATTATGGCTTACAGCTTATGGAAACCCCATATTCAAAATTAGAATATTACTTGAAATCAGTATAAAAAAAAAAGGATTTTAAATACAGAAATGTCGGCCCTCTAAAAAGTATAATAATGCATATGTACTCAGTACTTGGTTTGGGCCCCTTTTGTTTGAATTACTGCCTCAATGCGGCGTGGCATATATGCTATCAGCAAAATATTCAAATTGTTTGAGTTTCACCTGTAGCTTTGATATTTATATATATAAATATATATTTAGCCTTACAATTCTCACTGTAATTCTCTCCACTACAGTGCCTCCTTCTAAGCCCGTATCTAGAATTCCTTCATCAGTCACAACAGGCAGTAACGCACTTCTTTCCTGCTTCGACAATGATGGCTCCCCCCCACCCACCTATAAGTGGTACAAAGACAACACTCCCCTCCCTGACGATCCCAGCAAGTTCCCCTCTTTTAAAAACCTCACCTACAAGATGAACGCTTTCAATGGTAACCTGGTGAGTGTTGATCTACAATATTTGAAAATACAAAATAACATATATAATGAGAGTGTGTATATATATATATATATATATATATATGTCACATCAAACTCTTTGGTCAAAACATTCAGTACTATACTGTATATTGCCATAATTTAAATGTTATTTTGCACTTTAGGATAATTCTAGGTTTTTGTTAGTTAAATTATTTCTGTAAAATTTTGTTTGTGTGATCAGGAGTTCCCGAGTGTGTCTAAGCTGGATATCGGTTCATATTTCTGTGAGGCCTCTAATGGAGAAGGTGCCCCTCAGCGTGGTAATGCAGTGCAGATGGATGTCCGTAAGTAATAGAGATGGGTTGATCATGAACCATTTGTTCATTTTTAACGAATCTTTTATATGATTTGGAAAGGCAAGTTGTCTCAGAGAGCAATTCGTTCATCTTGGGGCGAATTCCAAACGGTGTTGGCACTTAAGGAAGGGGACGCCATTTGTAGGGGTGTTCCGAACGAAAGTGAACCACTGAAACTCTTCACAAAGGGCCCTTCCACAAAAGTCCGTTAGCGAAGGGTACATGCAATGGTCACTTCAAGCAAGTAATTTTATCGTTTATGGTCATGAGACCCAGGGTGGTGAATCAGTTTTAAAGCTAGATGATGGGAGAGTTCCAGTTATTGTATAAACAGAATAATTAAAGTTGTTTTGATATATTAAACACACTTTTATCATACATTTCAAATGAAGTTTAAGTAAGTTTCATAGGTAAGAAATTTTGGATATTAAAATAGTAGATATGTTAGGAAAATGTGACTACATGCAGGGCCGAAAGAAGAGACGATACGTTTTAAAGTCTCACTCACTCACCCAGTGCGTATTTAGTTTAAAGGGTAACTAAACTCTAAACCAACTTTTTTTAGTTAATGATCTGTAAGAATGGGGCTTTATTAGTGCCGATCATTGATTCGAGTAAATTTTTTGACATTTTGTATAAAGTGTTTTAATTCTACTATATATGGTGTAAAAACCAAGCGTGCCGCACAAGCCCTGAAAAGTGAAGCCAAAGCGTCTCGATCGCCCCCCCAGTGGCCGGTCCTAGTATAGCTCATAAACCCCGCCTCCCCATGTTATTCAACGCCATGTGAGACCAACTAAACAATTAAATTACACTTCAAATATCGTTTTTCCAAATATGGTTTCTGTCATTTACTGTAGTTTGTATCATGCTGATGTAATTTCAAGTGTTTGTTTTTAAAATAAGTTTGTTTTTAGTTAGTTATTTGATGCGGTGGTGTGACGTCATAATTGACAGCTGTGATTGACAGGTTCTCAGAGTGAAGTAGTCACTGAAGCACCAACAGACTTTTTTGCGGGATCTTCGGAGGACTGAGGAGATTGGAGCTTTAAATTTAATATCTAAATTTCTATAATTAATTTAAAAAAAAGTGCAGGAGCTTGTGATTGATTCAGCGAGAGTGAGGGCGGGGCCTTGATTTCACGGCTTTACTTCCTGCTCACGACTGCGCAGGTCTGGTTCCGAAATCGCTTCTGCGCAGACTCAAGTCCCAAGATGTCAGCGCCATATCGGGATACTGACCAATGGAAGAGAGTGAAGGGGCGTTGTCCATCTTTTTTTACAGTCTATGGTAAAAACATCTGAGTGCTGCCCTCTTCAGTTTGAACGGTGGCTACTGCAGTTGAATTTTCCTATTGGATGTTTGCGGTGCTTTGTGACGTAAGCGTGGACACGCATGGACTTCAAATGACCGCTCTGTTGCAAAGCTACTTGCGTCACTCCAGTCACTCTCCATTTTTGAGTCTGACAGCAGCTGTCACTGCGGGTCTCAGGTGCACGCCCCAATTAAAAATTATATAATTATTATAAATGCTTGCTCCAAAACATACTAATATATTTCAAAACAAATTATACAAGTAAAATAATATGAAATTATATATGTACTAAATGTACACATACCGTGTGGTAGCAATATAGATAAAATACAGTAAAAATGTAAACATTACTAAGAAAAAAAAACAAAAAAAAACTTGCACCTTCGTAGACCATCACTGGAAAACCAAATACAATTTCTTTCCCTTTTTTATGTTCTTATTGTTTCTTAATCAATCAGGGACAAGAGAGAGGACAAGAACAGCAAGGGTCAAATACAAAGGTAGGGATTATATATAGGGTTACTTATAGGGGGACAAAAAGAAGATTTTTTAAAGTACAAGAGGAAAGGTTGCCAAATCATGTGAAATTGTTCTGTTCTCCCATACATTTTTTTTCTATTTGAATAAACTGCAACAGCTCATGCATCCAATGAAAATAACTGGGTGGGGAAGGATCTTTCCAGTTCATTAGTAGTATAAGCCTTTTAGCAATTATTAAGCAAAAAGCTAGAGCATTTGACTGTAAAGATAAGGACACCTTTGTGGGATTAAGACCAAATAGTGCCACTAAGGATGTTCAACATCTAAAACAAAAATGTCAGAAATGTCAAGAAACAAAGACTTGAAGATTGATGTCCAGGAAGAGGTCAACGCTGGGCAAAGCCAAAAAGTATGATAAAGTGTAGCCGAAGCTTGTCGACATCGGTTACAAGTAGGATTGAGATCGGGTTTATTTTAAACAGTTTAGCTTTTGTACAATAAATTGTGTAACTGTGAGAGGAGGTATGTACACGACAAAGGGCCTTAAACCATTCCTCATCAGTAAAAGCGTGGTTAAGATCTGATTCCCAACTTTGCTTTATTTTAGACATGGTTGAAAAATCTGACATCCGACTGAACTACAAACTTTCCACTGATGTCTGTGAAAAAGGGATGCACTAGACAAGCTTGGACGTCTGTGCCGCCGCGCGCTCAATCCACTGCGTGTTTTTCGCTAATCAGCTCGTGCACCACAGCTATATAGGTGTTACTGTATTTTGTTTAATATTCCACTAATTAGATACATTTACTTCATAGACAGCATTCTTTTTTTATCTCCATTTATACTCTCTGTTGTCAGTGTTTCTTTGTCTGGACACAAACACTGTACACGCGCTGCCTGGTATCGTTTGTTGTTGGTATCGGAGCATTTTTACGAGTACACAAGGGCAGTATCGGGATTGTAAAACTAATCCGTATGAATTGAGCGGTCTAGTCCAAATTTTCTGAAGAGACACGATCGCTTTATGTATGATGAACAGATTTAATTTAGGCTTTTATTCACATATTATTCATTGGTTCTTGTGGAAGCTCAAACGTGCTGAAGTGAAGGATGAGGGGAGGACAGTGAGGGGTTGAGGCCCTATGATATTTGCTTCTCAAACAGATGTCTTGATTCACTTTAATTTGTTGGTTTTCTTTATTATAGGTGATCTAAATGTTGGTGGCATTGTTGCTGGGGTCATCGTGGCTTTGCTGGCAGTAGGGTTGCTCCTCTTTGCTCTCTGGTTTGCCAGTAAAAAGGGATATCTACCAAGTAAGTTCTTACTGCGTGTGTGTCTGTCGAGTGAGTGAGTGAGTGAGTGAGTGAGTGAGTGAGTGAGTGAGTGAGTGAGTGAGTGAGTGAGTGAGGAATAATTATAAAATCAAACAATAAGATGTCATAGCTACAATAATTAGAAATGTAAAATTTTTATTCAAAATGATTTGACTAATTTGCATCCCCCCCCCCTCTACAGAAATGGCTGAAAGGTAAGAGTTTATTTCTGTGGCACATACTTTAAATCTTTATTATATAATACTATATCTTGCATTAAATATGTTCTAAAATGTAATAAAATGATATAAATGATCTATTGCAGCAAGCCGAAAACACAAGCTGTTTATACCCAGCCTAGAGCAGATGATGATGATGGAGATGTAAGTACAACACACATGCTTAGTTGTGTGAATTATATTAAACCGCTGAATTGATTTCCCCATTGGAATTCTGTTTGCAGTAGTTCATTTTGAATGTCATTTTCTATTTGTGTGTCCTGTTCTATCACCACAATAGTGGTTCTGGTAAAATAATTATTTTCACACTGTTTTGTGTCTGTTTCAGGGGGAATTCAGACAGAAATCATCTTTTGTGGTGTAGCCTGTGCTGCTTTGGATGAATTGTCAAGATTTGTTGCCTAGATCAATTTTTTCTATTTAAGTTCATACAAATCAGGATCTGTTTGTGTGTGAAGAGTGTGCTTCAAATGTGGCTCCCTTCCCTGCCTACCACACTAGTTGACCATAGAGATGTCCAAAAGCTTTAATCATAAATGTGTGTGCGGTAGTTTAAATTTACATATCTAGTCTCTTTTGCAGCAATGAATTGAAATGTAATTTATTGAACTACGAGTAATTTGTGAGTGGAAATTAACAAACTTAAAGGGTTTATTATCAATCCTTTATTAATATAATATACTCAAGTAATATTAATTTGTTTAGTTATTTATGGCTTGAGGCGTCCAAGGCTAATTCTACGTGAGTCTGTGCTATGGGATGAAAGCTGGGGAAAAGAAGGTACTATGAATGTTCCCCATTCATGAAATAATCCCCCTTCTCCTTGATATAAACATTTGCTGTACATTGTAGTCATCATTTGCTGTTTGTTTACTTCACTGGCATTTTTTATGATAGTGTACTTTGTGTTTTTATGTGTTTTGTACTTCATTCATGAAATGTAAATATTTCTTTCTGGTTTTTATTGGATGTTATAGAATTTAAAATCATGCTTTATTGACCTCTTTAAATTGTTCAACTGGAAACAAATTACAAAACTGTTTTTCTTGTTTGATTGAAGTTTTAATGTCTGACTTGATCCCGTTCTTCCAATAAACTAAACTTACTGATTATGACTTATGCAATATTATATGAAATGCTGCTGACACTCCTCCATTAGCAGGTCCACCCAGTCTGCTCATGCAGAAATCTCCTTGTGAATGTGAAATTAAGCAATGCTATCTGTGGTTGTCTGAACAATATGACTCTTTTTGAAATATCTCTTTTCTATCACGCAGGTTGAGAGTATGAATGAATATATTCATTTTTAAGTTATTTCTTAATGTGTCAATAACCTCATGAGATCTAAAATGTTTTGAATATGACCACTACGAGGCAGTGAAGGACCACAATAAATTCTGCACAGCTTCGTAAAACTGTCGAAATTAACTTCCCATTGGCATGTATCTTCTATGAGATTCAACATGATGTCTGTAACAAAAAAATAATAAAATGATTTTCATTGTGTTTTTTTTCTTCTTTAATTCAATTTTAGATTTAACCAAATACATTATTTGCACAAGGCAGCTTTGCTTTCAGTTCATTCACTGGTTTCTGAACGGATGATTTTTTAAGATGATCTTTCTCTGTGCTGGCCATATACGACCCTTAACATTTTACAAAATATAAGTATTTTCCACATGATGCGTTCTACGTGCGCACAGTTACATAAGAACGTTCGGCTGAATGTGAGAACGTCAATGACGATGATGCTTCTCACTGAACTGCGCTGAGCGTATCTGATCTGCTCAACGTCACCTTTGAAAACTGCGACTTTAAGGATGAGGGGGGGCGGGGCCGGGTGGGCCCCGTCTGCTGATAGGCTGCATCCGCTTTCAGTCAAGCCCCATTCATAAATAAGTCATGTCTAGAAGGAACCGATGTAACAAGTACTGATAGATTTCGCTCGCGACGCGCATTTCTAACTCTACGTCGAGCCGCGATAAACTCCGTCGAATTATATTTCTTCCCGTGGCAGACAGCGACAGCGATGGCTGTCAATTCGCGGAGCAAATGAGATTGACTTCCGACTGGTGACCCCTTTCTCAAACTGTAATGACATGAGCGCTCCAGCAGGAAGCTCAAATCATTTTGTGTTTAAAACATTGTAGCGCGTCCGCCAAGACTTCTGTCTGCCCGACTGTGGGGAATAATGAAGCGTTTTTGAACCAGCCTTTACTGAAGATACTGTAGCGCTTGATTCGATGTTTTAAATGTGTGCCGTATTCGTCCATTTGGACGCATCAAAAGTAAGCATTTCGCTGTTCTGAAACCAAATGGAAAGCTGAACCATGGCAGCAAAAGAGGACCTATATGCCAAAGTCGCTCCACGGATGCAGCGGCAGAACCGGCCAGGAACTGTCAAACATGGAAATAGTCTGGATGTGTTGCTGGCAATGGGCTTCCCAAAAACCAGGGCGTAAGTACCAGAGTTTCATCTCTCCCAGATCTCGAGCTGCAATCACAGCTGTAAACGTTAAGAACGCAAACACATGTAATAAAAGCGCTACAACCCCCCTTTGGAAATACAGAAACATGGCAGATATATAACATTTGTAGTGCAAGTTGCATTTGTAATGGCGTCGGTCTGGTTGTGTTATTGATTAATATGACGAAGTGGGAAATAGGCTCGATCGGTTATAAAGTTGTTTTCCTGTTGCCTCATTAAGCCGTTTTCTTTGAAACTCGTCATACGTGGTCTGGGCTGCATCTGTCCTGACGGGACATGTTCCTCGAGCGGATGAGGTTGGCACCGCTGGGAGGTCAGATCACCGCTGTCCGTCCTATTGGGGTTGTGTCAGCGCATCCATAACTGTCTGACGAATGCTCTTTTTTTCATGGCATCATGGCGCTTGAACATGTATGTATAGCCTATACTTGAGCGTATATGTTAGGAATCTGATTCCAAGTTTCCGATTCCATGAATGATTCTTCAGTTCCTGTCCCAAAAAACAGTTTTAATAACCGTTATATAAATGTAATTCAGTTCTTGTTTTCACAGACTTTAAATTACTTTTCACAAACCTGTTATTAAATAAAATGCACACTAACTGTTGTTTACTATATTCAATTTCTAAACAAACATAACCTAACATATTTATTGGTAGCACTTTATAATAACGTAACAGTAATTAATGTAGCCTATTAAAAATTAACTAACAATGAGCAATTCATTTGTTACTTATTCATCTTTGTTAACGTTAGTTAATAAAAATAAAGCTGTTCATGTTAGCTCAGAACCACTAAATGTGGCCGACACAACTTTTGATATAAAATTAGTGCTGTCAAATCGATTAATCATGATTAATCGCATCTCACATAAAAAGTTTTTGTTTACATCATAATATATATTATTATATTTATATATATTATGTATGTGTGGGCGCGTGTCTGTGTATACAGTATACACACACACACACACACACACATATATATATATATAATATATACACACACATATGTAAACAAAACTTTTATGTTAGATGCGATTAATCGATTTGACAGCACTAATACTAATAGGCTAGGCTACTAATAAAGGTTGAAATTAACATTTAAAGGAGTAGTTCACTTTCAAATGAAATATTAGCCCATGATTTACTCACCCTCAAGCCATCCTGTATATGACTTTCTTCTTTCTGATGAATAGAATCGGAGTTATATTAAAAAATATCCTGTCTCTTCCAAGTTTTATAATGGCAGTGGATTGCAACCAACAGATTGAAGCTCAAAAACGTGCATTCATCCATCATAAACAAACTTCAAACGGCTCCTGGGTTAATAAAGGCCCCCTGAAGCAAAACGATGAGTTTGTGTAAGAAAAATATGAATATTTAAAACTTTATAAAGCAAAATAACTAGCTTTACAGACAAACGAACATACGGATTCCACTTAAAGGCAGGTTAGGTAAAAAATCCCCAAAAATACTTTTTTCCAAATTTGTTTAAACTGTCTTTATATATCAATGCATAATTATAATGTAAGTAATCTGGAAAAGAAATCATAAAAATCGAGTGTCTGTAGTCCTCTCAGGACTGCAATAAACACAGCTCACCCCCTCCCTTCTCTGCGATCCCGGCCGTTCGCTCAGCTGGAAGGGTGAACGTGATTTCACCAAGTACCACATGTTCCTGGATCAACATCTTTGTTGATCCTGGATCAACTTTCCAATCAACCAATCAGATTTGAGGGAGAAGTTTACAGTTTATGTCAAGTTTAGGCTTAGAACCAGGGTGAAGTACTTAAACATCAGTGTTATTCACCTTTCATTACCCTCTGATTTTAGGGAAAAGTTACATTTTGGGACAGGAATGTTGATCCAGGAACATGTCTTACTTGGCAAAATCACGGTGACCCAGCTGGAAGAGTCGGACGCGTTTACCAGCGCCGAGCAGAGAGGAGCGCGCAGTGCATGTAGTGACATCATGTCAGAATCACAAGTAATAAAATAACTAACTTTATCAGTATGAATATAAACAATTAACATGGCTGTTAGTACACACTATCAAGCTGGCATATCGATACTGGTAAAGTTTAAAATATTTTACTAGCTCGTAACCGAATCAAACTCAATATAAGGCAAAGCTATAAATAGCTTCATTGATACACGTTCGCCGTTATTATCAGTTACACTGTGATGAAGGTGAATTTGTAAGATTCATAACATATACAGGTGTTTTGCATGTAAGAGCTTCCTGTTCCTGAAAGCACTGTTGGCTCTGATGTATTGTTTACAGATAAACTGAGTAATATATACTCAAACACCTTCTCACAACTGCATTGCAGACACCAGATAATATAACACACACACACACACACACAACATATATTGTATAACACATACAGATACAACATAAAGACATAGGTAAACATATGTAGAGCATATAACAACAAACCAAACGTGAAAAAACGGAGCAGGTAGAGTTCACGGTGAACATAGGAACAAAGTTTTGGCAGAGGGTAAAGCTAGGTATAAAAATAGATCCCCTAAACTTTTTAACCTAAAGTTAGATTTGGCGAAATTAAACAAAACCGCTTTCAACTGCAGATAGGCCTATTGATTATTTATCGTCTCAACCCTGGCTCACTAACAGTAACGTTATAACAGTCGACACCAAGTTACACTGTCATAGCTAAGCCAGTGTAAAGTTAGTTATGCTACATAACGTTAAGTAGCTATATTAGGTAGCTACGTGTGCTAGTGATACATGCTTCATGAAAAAATAAATGCCATCAAAATGAAAACAGCGAGATTACCTGTCCAGCAGAAATAATGCCATCATGGAGTCACTTTTCAGCGCCTTGAGATCCCCCAGTTGTCACCACCGCTGGAAAGCAACGCCAATATTGACTCTCGTATGATTTCTTGATTTATCCAGAATTTTTGTTCATAGCCTTTTCAAATACTTTCTTCCTTTTTTTAACTTGTTTGACTTCGCTGCCTGTATATGCAGGTACTGTTCTTTCTCTGCCATAATTG